CTGGCACCCCGTAGGACTCCTGCCCTCCCTCCCCATTGCTTGTGGTGGAGCAGCAGCCAGGTGGGTTCAGCTCCTGCCCTGCTCTGCTGAAGCACCCCCTGTCATGTTACTCTGATGCAGCTTGGTAGTTGTTACAGTGACAAAAATCCTCTGTTGTAGACCGAAACAGGCTATTTGATGCTCAACAAGGGAATAATCAATCTCTTTGCATAGGGCAGAAGATGAAGCTGTAGGAGCCTGGCACACCTTTATGCCTACATACTTATTTCTGTATACTCACCGGGGATTGTGGTGTCTCTGAGGCAGTATTAGGAGACAGGACAAATGCCCAGAGCTGCTCCCTGTAGAGTGCCCCAGAGCTTGATGTCATCCTTGACACAGCCCCCATATTGCTCAGCAACATCCATCAGCCCCAAAGATGTGGGTGAGGATGTGGCCCTTGTCCTAGCCTGAACTTCAAGACTGCCCTGACATGAGATACTGCAGTGGGTACAGCTTGAGGGAAAAATGAATCTGGTTTAGCAGAGCTACCTGATGATTTTAAACGTTCACATTTTTTTATGCAGCATTTTGGAACATTTCAGCCACTCTCGTTTGGAATTCAGTTCCTCTCCCTATTAATCAATAGCAGGCCTTAACAAAACAATATCTCACAGGAGACACAAGCACACAGTGCTGAACAAAGCAAAACAGCCACTGGCTTACAGCAACAATTGCTGCTACACAATGGATTTTCAAAGCTCAGTATATATTTTGTCTCTAGTGGGAAAACCATAACAAGACTGAATTAGTGGCTAGGCTTGCCAAAGGGAGAAATTAAAGTGCGACAGCTTGTCTGACACCTTGAAGTACTTTTATTTATTTTGGGGGGAGAGGACAGCACAAGGAAATAAGAGGCCTATTAGGGAAAGACATTTTCTGTTGCTTTCTGAAGTGTGGAGGGGTTTTGCACACCTCGAAGCTTGGTCCAGGTTGGGGATCAGCAGTACTTTCTGGTGAGATGGTTCCTGCGAGGCGCTGGCAAAGAATGGGGATGCTGCCCATGGAGCTGGGGAGGCACAGGGGTGGAGGTAGGAGTGTGGCTTTCAAAAGGAGGATGGGCTGGGAGTTCCTTGTCCCTGCCAGAGGAAGCTCAGGGCTGGTTTGCAGGTGGCTGTTTGGTGGGGGAGAGAGAAGAGGGAGAGACTATGTGAGAGCAAAGCAAATTCCCTTCCCTTCACGCAGTCACCTCCGAGCTTGCAGACTTAACTGCTCATCTGTGGGTCTTGACAGCTCCTTGCTATGGCACTAATGGGTTTCAGAGGCTCCCAGTGAGCTGTAATCACCTTGGTTCAGGGCTCAGCTTGCACCTTTACAAGCACCTTCACCCCTTGCTGTTAACCTGTGGTCTCCTTCATTCAGCAGCTAAGCTTGTAAATTCATGTAACCAAATAGCTGTGCTGTTAACTGCCTGCACAAAAGTGAGCAACACATCCATCTTCCAGTGCCCAGCCAGCAGCCTAATGACACTTCTTGCTGTGCTGGTGGGTACCCTTTCAGACATAACTAACTCTGGCACTGCAAAAACAATTGTTTCAGCATTTGCACAGGCCACGCAGCTCATCTGGGCCGAGGAGAGAGGTTGTGAAGGCAGAAGGCTTCCCACTGACAGCCCCCATGCACCAGTGCCCTGCACTATTATCACCCCATGTCATGGTCTGATGGTTGGTAAGGGGGTCCTTCACCCTGCTGGCTAGCTGTGCCTCACGCCCCGGAGCAGGAGCACACTTGCAGTGGTTTTAATTTGGGTTGTGACCAACATCCAACAATTTCTCTTGGAAAAGCCATGCCTCAGTTTCCTCGTCCATAAACTGAGTGTAGCTCCCTGAGAGCTACACTCTGGGAGAGCACCACTGGGAGGACAGCTGTTAATGAAACACCAATCGTGCTGAATATCCAGCCTCTCTAATTCTTGCCAAAGTCTGTGGTTTGAATCCTCTAGTCTTGAAATTAATCTCAGCAAGACTGTTTGATGCAGACCTGGTTTCCCATGAAACAAGGCTTGTGTGATTGCTATGTGTGTGTGTGTGGGTAGATGTGCCAGACCCTTTCCAAATTGTCCCCATGAGCTAATTTCAGCCTGGCGAGGTAGAGAGGTACAGCACTCACAGACAGTAAATCCTACAAGCTCGGAGGAAATCATCAGTGCAAGCTCTTTCTCCTGCTTCCACTGTGGAGGAGGTTGGGCTACAAGATCACCCTTTGCTAGAGACATGGGAGCTCAGCTAGGGACACCACCCATAGGAAACAAGGCTTGGCAGCTTCTGCTTGTGTTACTACTTGTTATCGAAGGAGAAAATGTGCAGCTTTCTATCTGCAAATAACTTAGACCCACCATTGGCAGAGATGTGATATGTTCTCTTTCTCAGCCCAAAGCAATCACAACCAATCAAAGTTGGGAGCATGTGAGCTGGCAGGGGTTGAATGGATGTTGCTGTTCTTTATTTGCTGGCTGCTTACCTGGTGCAACAGGCAGTCCAGGAGAATTTCTTAATTAACCCAGCTCAGTCCTGGGTGGCACACGTACATTGCCAATGGGCATTGCGAAAAAAGTCTAGTTATTGCACTTTGGCTTGGGGAAGGCCCCAGCCTAGATCTATTGTTAAGGAAATGGTCTTGGAGGAAGGGAGAGAAGGAGCCTGGACCCTGGTCTCCAGTCCGAAGACTGTTTGTTGTCTTTATCTTAAATATGACTGGATCTAACCTCAGAGGAGAGTGGGTGGAGGATTAATTTGTGCTGCCTTTGAAAATAATTGAGCAACTCAAAGCAAGATCTCAGGGAAACAATGTTTATAATCTATATCCTGCCTCAAGCTGCATAGGCGTCACAGTCCTGCCCCACTGCCAAAATTAGCTGCAGTCATCAGGAAGCAGCTGGTGTCCCAAGCATGAGCCCTTGTGTTCAGCCATCACTCAGTAGCTTTTATATAGTTATATAGAGAGAGATTTTCCTGGTTATTGAGCATCACCTACCCTCCAGCGTTGCAGTGGCAGCAGGAAACTTCTTACACATGTAGCCTGATCCAGTGTCCTTAACCATGCGCAGTTCCCGCTGATTTTAGCAGGAAGCTTGCTTCATGGTGCACAGTAGAAATGCATCTCTCAAGAGGCAGCCTGTGTCTATGATAATCTGTCCTTAGGTTTTAATAGCAGTGTTAGGGATTTTGCCAAGCTAGGAAATACTGAGTCAAGAGTGTTTGTTGATTAGCCTTCCCATTCATTAAATCCAGGTTGCTTTCAGCTTTTAATTCACTCTACATAAATCAGTGCACTCCCTTTTCTTAGTCCTTTGGAAAATGAGTAGCTGCTTCTTCCTCCGGGCTGGATTTGGGAATATTTGAAAAGTGGCAGTGCCTTTATTTCTGCCCCAGAAGAACTCTGCAGGAGAAAGAGCTCTCTAAGTTGTTCAGTGTCCACAATACATTTGAAAGAGTTGGTGTCAGGGATGTTTGTAATTATTGAAAATATTAAATAATGCAGACTAACAGAAACAAGGCAAAGTACATAAGTGGGGAGGGGGAGCATTCCTCTGCTATCCCTCAGCTCTTTCAGGTTTTACTCTGACAGACAAGAGTAAATTCCCTGAGGAATTTTTTCCTGTCTGTGGCTGTTTTACTCTCTTTTTCTCCTGGGGAGTGGAGGGTGAGGAGGAGAAAGAGTAATTTCTGCTTTCCTTCTGCTTCTTCATCTCTGATGGCTTCTTCACCAGGAAAGAGGATATGAACAATGTCAGGAACCTGCTCATTCTTTACTATTTTCCCTTTTCTTTCTCATCACGGAAAGACGGAAGTGGGAAATGATGGCAGGCACTCAATATCCACTCATCTTTTCAATCCAGCTCTTTAACTGCTTTTGTTATTCAGTGGCATGATGATCTTTGGCTCATTATTTACTGGCTGTTTAATTTAAATATATCCCCATCAGGGAGCCAAAAGATCCAGTCTCAGAGCTTTCACATGATTTGTCTAACCACTCTCTAAATTATTTATCATGGCTCTGCACAGTCTGGAGATTTCTTTCCTTTTTTTTTGGTTGTTTTGTTTTGTTATTTTTTTTATTCTTTTAAACGCTATGATTTGATCCCAAACATCTGTAAGAAATCATGACTGACCTCCCATCTGGCTAACAACTCAGCTCTGTCCTGAGGCTGGGTAGTGTCAAGTGTGTGCGCTCCGTCTCAAAAGCCTTAAATTCCTGACATGGTGAAATTCTTTTCTTACATGTTTATTGACAGAAGGCGAGATGGGAAGGGTTGGGAAGGGAAAAGAAAGGAAGGGAAGGGAAAGCAATATCAAGATGCTGCGCCGCTGGGCCAGAAGCGAGTGGAACATCTTGTTACGGAAATGGCCATGAAAACGCTCCTCCCTGCCTTAGAAAATTAGCTATTTAAAGCAGGATCAATTGACGGTCCTCTTTGCTGCTGTTGTCTTTTGGATGTGGCATGTGTAAATAATATTTCCTCATGAAAGAAAACTTCCAGCGGTGACAGCACTCCTCTGGCCGCTTCCTGTCCCAAAGGGGAAGAATCAGCTGGAAATGGCATCTCCCTCCAAACAGAAACCCCAGGATTTGTGTTTTGGTTTTCCTCTCAAACTTTAGACAAGTGAATTTTGACTCCTAAATGCCATAAGATGGCCCAAATGGGGCACAATTTCTAAGATGCATTTGGGCACTGGACTTACATAGGACAACACCCATGTAAAAGTGAAAGTATGTGGAGAAAATTAACAAAACTATGTGACTTAGAGCAAAGCCCTCTTTTCCCTTTTATATCTGTAGAGTCAAAGTGGAAATACGTTTTAAAGCAGTTCTTTGAAACAGGTTCCTTTACTTTTGCCAATGTCAGTGAGCAAAAACTTGGCTAATCACAGTTCCTAACTCCTCAAGTGATGGGGTCACATCTTTCCAAAGACTGGAGTTATCAAACACCCAGAGATGGAGGGGAGCCCCTCTATGTTTTGTTAATTGCATTTTGCTTATGTTTTCTCCCTTTCTCTCACTTAGTTTTTGATTTTCCAGGGAGATTAACCGACACCCAGTTTAAGCACCCTCAAACTTTCCTCAAGTTGAGATGCACATCTGGATCCCAGCTCTACAGCTCGAGCCCATTGCTGTTTGTTGCTGTTTGCGTTGCTGCAGGCCCCACTTAGGGATTGTACAAAGTGTTCTTCTAAAAAAAATAAATACTGGAGTGTCCGTACAGCATTAGAGGAGAAACGCATTCCTTCTGTAACGTGCTGTTGCCTGATCATTACAGAAGCACAGAAAAGAAACTCGGTGGGGACATAAGGCACTTGGGGCTTTAGAAGAAAATGTTTTTGCAGTATTAGGGGCTTGGAGTCATCCTCATTTCCATGTAAGCCCCTGTACTAAGTAAAGGGAGATCACCAGGCTTTTGAGAATCATTCAGATGTCCTTATAAGGGAACTTAAAGACCTCATTTAGCACAAGGATTCGATGAGATTCAGGCCAGCTGAGCCTGGCCTATAGAGGCAGGGATCTCTTCTCAAGCTGATTTATAAGTCCTAGCAGAGAAAGAGCTGTTGAGTGACCCCATTGATGAGACCTGAAGGTTGTGAAGAAGTTGCAGGCCTGCTGGAGATGATGGAGGTATTGACCATCTTCTTGTCTCTCCTATGTCTATCCACCTGCCCCCAAACTCTTTGTTTTATTTTTATTGGGATATTCTTTGGATGAGCCCTATTAAACGCATCGGTAGCATTGAAATTTGCCGATGCCAATAAACCCATCTGTTTTATTAACTAACTGCAGCCTCTGGAGTGTTTCTCACTGACTGAGGCATGAGCAGCCCTTTCTGCTGTCTCCAGCACTGTGTGTCAGTGCCGGGAACAATGGGAGGGGACCCAGGAGGTCGCTGGCAGGAAGCGCTGCTTCCCCCGGATAATTAACCGGCTGGGAGACTGAGGAACGAAGATAGCAGGAGACACACACAGTACAAACTGCTGAAACAATAAACAAACAAACCAATGACCAGCACTTCCTTTTCTTATATTGTTAAAGCTGCTTCCTTAATTCAGGTGGCCCCAAACCCACCCCTCAAAAAGCAGGCTTTTAGGCTCACTAATTCTTAACCTCTTCACTACCAGTGCTTGCTGAAGGTGTAAGCCAAGGTTTTTGAAGGTGATAGCCAGCACCTACCATTCCTCCTTGGGGCTTGCTGGAGCAATTAGGGGTCCCTGTTTCTGAAAGCGATAAAAACACTCTCACCAAAAATTGAACAAAGGGAGATTTAGTTTGGCTGTAAGGCTGCATGGCTGTGACACCCTGATGTCAGGACTGTGCCCCCTGTAGGTACCAGCATCCAGACTGGCAGGTGACTCAGTCTAACTCTTAAAATGCTGATATTGTCAGAGAAACTGGACACAGAGCCAAGACCCAGAGGCAACCTGGATCAGAGCTTTGTGGCTCAAACCCAGGTCCTTTTTCACTCTTGCAGCTGTCCTCCAATGTGCCATTGTCTCTTTTAGAAGGGGATCAGCTGTGCCACCAGTGCTCCCTATCCTCCGCACTGCTGAGCATCCAACTGCACACTTCCACTGAAATCCTCTCTTCTGACTCCAGGGGGGACTTTTGCCCACAGTCTCCTCCCCCCATCCAAACCGTTCTTTAGATGGGCTGCTGTTTTGTTTTTCTGACCTGTTACTGACAGAATTATGAAAGCAGAAATCAGGCACCTCCCCACCCCGGGTAATTTTTGCAGATGTCTCATTGAAGAGCAGCAGGGGATTGCCTTTGTTTCTGTGCACAGAGCATCATGTGCATATTTTATCCCGCAGAGGCTGGTGCCAGTGGTACGCAGGAGCTGAAGTGACGGCATATCCCCGCATCCACTGATTGGTGAATCTGACTCCACCATGTCCTCAGCAAAATACTGTCAGGGAGAAGATGCAGCCAGGGACCACTGCAGAGAATTAGGCTGATCCTGCTGGAGCTGGAAAATGGCTTTTCCAAAGAGGTACTGGTGTTTTTCCCTGTCAGCCTGCAGATTTGGAGTCAGGCAGGAGCAGGGGTGCTCAGGGAGGGGGCCAATGGCCCATCCCTGGACTCCCTCTGTCCTGGCAGCACCAGTAAAGGCTGTCCTGGGGTAGGTCCTGCCTGCTGCTGAGTGCTCCCAGCTAACAGCTTATTTGTTGTTACTTTAAATACCCACTGTTTGTGTTAAGCACAGCAAGAAGTCTAGTAAACTGAAATGGTGACATTTAAAAAATGAAATCTCTCAAATACACATTTGATCTTTCTAATAAGGAAGTTACCTGCTAAATACCAAGAATTATAGAATAGTTTTGGGTTGGAAGTAACCTTAAGGATCATTTAGTTCTGCTGCGGGCAGGGACACCTTTCACTAGACCATTTCCAGGGATGACGCATCCACAACTTCTCTGAGAAGCCTGTTCAAGTGCCTCACCCCTATAGTAAATATATATCTAATCTACAACTCCCCTCTTTCAGTTTAAAACCAATCCCCCTTGTCCTATCACCATATGTCCTTGTAAAAAGGCCCTCTCCATTTTTCTTGTAGGCCCCCTGCAGGTACTGGAAAGCTGCTCTAAGGTCTCTCCAGAGCAGGTATAGAGATTAGGCAGTGTGAGAGAAAACCCACCACAGTTGCACATCATCACAGAAACTAAAAAGGCCCACAGTCTTCTGCCACAGACACTGTGGGATGCCCTTTAGCTCTGCTCAGAGCTGAGCACTAGCAATGCTTTGCAGTGCTGTCAGCCTTGATGGGCCACCCCAGCTCGAATCCCCATACCACAGGGGAACTGGGCATCTGGAGAAATTGTGGGTGGTGTGGATATGATGAGGGACAGCAAATCCTGCTGCTCTGCCATGACTGACATCTGCTGTGTGTCCATGGCATGTGTTTTTAAGAAGGGTGGGAGTGGGTCATTGGAGAACAGCTCTCCCTCACCCTCTTGGGCAGATGAGCCTCCCTCTAACCAAGAAATGCCCTGGCAGGTTTCCATCCATAGCGCCTGGTATATTTTGGCATGTTTCAAGGCTCAGTGAAGTGTTTTTGGAGACTATTTTTCTACTGCCAAAATCCCTCTGTGTCACAGTGTGTGTCTCCACAGTGCAGAGTCAAGTGGAGACATGATGGATTTGCACGTCCAATCTTCAGTAAAAAGGAAAGAATATGGAGCAAACTCTTTCTGAGCACAAGTTCTTCAATTTCAAGGGCTTCCAACACCCAAAGTTACTTATATGGTGCTATTCCCCTGAAATCTGCAAAGGGATGCTGTGTTCAACCAACTGCTGAAACCTGAGGTGCTATGAGAACAGCTTTGAATGGAGCTGGTATGTCAGGAAGATGCTGTAAAAAACCCAGTTCCTGTTTTCATGTCATGAATCAACACTTCCACTGAAATTTCTTTGCTAACTGATTCATTACTGTATGTCATTCTAACAGCAGTCATCTGCTATATGCCTATTTTCACAGTGTTAAACCGAAAGCCAGGCTTTACGGTTTAAATAGAATATCTCTGTTTCTTGTGGAAAAGATAGGATGTGTGCTCTTTAGGACTTTACGTATGACAAGGGTGAATCATCCAGATGATGATGGAAACTTTCTTAGGCAACATCAGTCCTCCTTTGCCCACTTTGTTTATCTTCAGTGATTCTGTGCAGTGAATTTACTCTGAGAGCCTTAAAAAACAGCATAAGTAGACATGGAAACTATCTCCCTGTTCTCAGAAGACCGAAACACAATCCCTGCCTGGCTGTGGCACTGAAAATAACATAACACTTTCATCAGGAGCCCCCAGATTTTCAAACCCCTCTGTATGCTGTGCTTGAGAGACTCCTAAGAGTAACTTTATTTGCAGCCACCGGACTGGAAAAGCAGTTTTCTTTCTTTCCTCTCTTTGCTGTGTTAGTCCTTGTCAATTCAGTTAACATCCTGAGTCCATGTGAGACAGCAAATGTCATTTGCGGAATTGCTGGGTTTGGCAGGGGGGGGAGCATGTATGTTCTGCTGCCAGTTTTTCCAGCCCTTGTACTTCTTACTGAAGAGTGGAAAAGGCACCCGCCTTTGTACATTGAAGAACATAATAACCCAGTTTGGGCTACTGGGGAGCTTGGCTTGCACGCCAACTGTAAACCCGGTGGGATGGCTGGTATAGGAAAAAGAAGAATGCAAATTAACAAATACAGCCAGGAGACATATATGGTGACTTGCCTCCTTTCCAGCTTTGGGCAGTGAGACTGCCTTGAGTGCTCCACCTTTGTCTTGTGCTGAATGAAGACCATGTGAGTACAAGGGGTTTGAAACCAAATGATCTTTAAGGTCCTTTCCAACCCAAACCATTCTATGATTCTATGATCTCAATTCCAAAGACCAGGTCTCTAGGTGGGCAGATTGCAGGGCCCTGCATCCAATTAACAAAGATTTCTGAGTACTATGCAGTCATAGCCACTTAAAAGTTGAAAGTAAATGTCAACTAATGTGTGGCATACCAGAGACAAGCAGAACATTGTAACATACTTCTTAATTTATGTACCCTGTTTAAGGTCAATCTGGCCTTCTAATTACATGTCTGCAAAGGCTAAACTCATTCATAAGAGGAAAAACCATATTATCCTGGACAGCAAAAGTCTGATGGAGATGTGGTAAATAGACAAAAAAATGCTGTTCTAAATGATATTATTGTCCTTGTCTAGAAGAGATTCACCTCCTTTTGTGCAACACCTATCATAAAGAAGGCATTTTCCATAAAATGGTTCCCAAACTAAACGTTACTAACCATAATGCCTTGCACAGCTGCATTTTGTGTTCTGTGCGGTCAGGCAAAAAAGGACCTGGTTTTGCAGACAGTGATACGGAGGAACCTTCAGGACAAATATTTAGGTCCTACGCTGCATTATAATCCGTTAGTGGCAAGAATGCCAAACAGCAGCTAAACATCAGGGGAAAGGATGTGCCTCAGCTGTGGATGGAGGCAGTGTTGACCTTGGCTTTTCCCTCTACCTGCATTAGCACAACACGTAGGATGTGCAAGAGATTTTGTAGCTTTTGGAGCTTTGTTCTTCCCTTTCTTCTCCCTGTGGCAGGGTTTGCAGTGCTGGATAGGCAGCAAGGGTTTGTGTCTGTAGCACTGAGTAGCTGTTACATGATTGCCTTGACTACAGGGGATTGGTCTGGAGGAACCTGGAGCAGCCCCCCTGTCTTGTGCTCCAGAGACTAGGAGCGCCAAGACCAGGATGCTCATGCCAGACCTAGGGCATAAGGGGATCATGCAGCTGGCATGGCATGTATTGGTATTCTTGACAAAACTGGTTATGCCCTTGTACTCCTGGATTCTCCCTAAGCAGTGAATGGGTTATCTGATGCAAACTTCTGAAGCAGCTGTCTGAAGCTGACACTGACCTAAGGACCACGTGTATCATCTAGAGGAATATACAGACACATGTAAAATTTGCTGGAGCTGGTGTGCCTGCAGACTGGGGTTCAGGAGAGCTGTGTGTGCTGGAGGATGATTTCAGCTGCTTTCTGCAGTGTGACCAGCCTGGTGGTGAGCAGCAGGGAGAGGAGACAGAGGCAGGAGATGAGCACTGTGTCTTTCTAGCATTCTCCACATGAAAACACAGCTTGATTCAACTAGTGGCACTAATCAGGGATAATACTTTGGTAAGGTTCCAGATTTTCTTTATGACTGACCCCAAGGAGTTTATGTTTTTTTCCACCTACAAAAACCTGTCATATGTGTGGTAAGAATTTCTTGTCTTTTCATCTTTTTTCCCTTTCTCCCCCCTCTCCCAATTCCAAGACAAAAATCTACTTTCTCCATTTTGAGATAAATGGGACATCACTGATGGAAATAGGTCCCTTGCCACCTCTTACATCTGTGAGCTGATAAAGAGCAAGGGTGTTTTAGGATCCTGGCCAAGAGTGGCATCTACAAAGTTACTGTTAATAGCTGCTGTTCTGAAGGCGCAGGCTAAAGGTGGAATGAACGTGTTAAGTGGCTTGGTGATACCACTGCTAGAATTAGAAACACTTCAGGGACTTCATGTGGTTAGTCCGCAAAACACTTCTGAGAAGAAAGTTTTTGCAGTTCCTGTTTTCCTGGTGGGCAAATTAGTCAGGATTGCTAAAGCAGAATTTAGATTTGGGTATTTATGCCTATTAATCATTTTCTCAGATTGCTAGCTCCTTACCTGAACAAGCTGAAAGGAGACGTAGTCAGGGCTTTCCTCCTCTTCTGCCATCCATCTTTGGTCCCAGCCAGTTCACACCAGCCACATCCAATGAAAAGGATATATATGTTGTTAGCAGATGCAGGTGGATGTCTGCTCAGTGGCTGTGTCTGTCCTTTTCCCAGGATACCCTGGGGTAACAGTCAAGTTTATGTATTTCTTGGACTTCAGGTTAGGTCCTCTAATTTAGCCGCAATTAGTGGCTCTTTCCTATACATTTTTAAAATTAGCACGAGTCTGCTTGTGGTTTTGGTATTTACACTGTCCAGTGGCAATGAGTTCCACAGTTTAACCTGGTGCTATGTGAAAATGTACTTCTTTGTCTCCTTTTTACCCTGCAGCCTGATGATATTTGTGACAACCCCCACAATTCTGCACTGTGAAGAATGGTAAGTAATATTCCCCACTGAGTTTTTAAAAGCACTTCTGATAATCATTCTTGACATCCTGCATGATTTTTTTCAGTCACATATCTCCTTTTTCAAGCTAAGGAACTCCTTAGCTAAGGAGCCACTGTTTAATCTTTTCTTGTACGCCAGCTTTATCACTGATGGTAATTTCATACATAGTAAAAAAACAGGTACCATCAAGAACTAATAAATTGCCCAGACAGACCGAGGGAAGAATTTTGTTTTCCAGCCTGGTCCAATAGAAGCTGCATTCAAGGCAGAAGGAGAGGCAGCACAAAATGTACCTGAAGTTTCTCTGGAACATAATTGCCTTAGTAGTATAAGGTATTGCACTTTTCAGAAACCAGTTTTCACTACCAGTTCAACAGCACAGAAATCTGAGCAACTGCCCTAAAATTATCATCCAGATTACGTATTTCTGAGCCTTTTAGTGATAAGATCTGAAATGAGAATTAGTATTTTTCCAGTGTTTCACAGGATACATGCTCATGAGAACAAATTACATGTGTTGTACCTACAAATACCCATGGCCATGTATTTTTAATTTAACTTGGATACTGATGTCAGTAACCAGAAAGACAACACAGATGCTTTGGGTCCCGGACCCAGATGTTTTGGTCGCTGTGACAACACCTGTGCTGACTCTGTTGGCAGCACTAGCAGCCCCAACACAACTGCTGTTGCTGCATGGCCCTCAGAGGAGCAAACAAGCCTGGTCCTCACACAGTAGGGGCCTAGGCAGCAGCCTGAGCAGGATGCAGAGGCTTTTCTCTGTTGCAAAGTTACCTCAGGAGCTCGAGGGAAAGAAAAAGTGAAGTTGCTAATATTTTACTCCCTTTGTTCTCTGAATAGTAGGGGAAGAAGGACACAGCTTGTTGTTGCTTACAACAAAGCAGATGAACTTTGGACTTTTTCTCTATTTACATTAGAATTTGCAACATGGGAAGGGTCAGAGATAGGTACATCCCAGATGGGCTCCTGTGCCAAAGTGGAGAAGAGGTAACAATGGTTCAGAAGTTTTGGCAATCAGTGATATGGGAAATTCACCTAAACTGCTAGTGGGCTCCCCTGCATAACCAAATCTTTCACACTGGAGTGATTTAATCACTGGAGTGATTTAATATTGGTGGTTTCATTTCACACTTGTTAATAAGGTTAATAAGTCTTTCTTTCAATGACTTTGCAAGTATACCTTAAGAAAGGCAGGATGGAGAAACACTTGAAATACCCTAGTTACAGACCACTTCTTTTTATTTGTGTGTTAGTAAACATTTTATTTCAGTCTCAGTGTATTGTTTCTGCATGAGCACAGGTGCCAGACAGTGTTGTTTATACATACCTTTCAGAGAGGAGCAATACTTGATGATTCAGTGAGACATCAGTGCTTTGTTAAAATTCTCCAGGTATAACTGGGGGCTTTCCTGTAATCAAATGAGTGGGTAGAAGATACAGAGTTTTGTTTGGAGGTTTTTTTCCACAGACAAGCTATTATTATTGCTGAGAAGATGGGAGATGTAATGCAAATGACAAAATATAGATGACGGCTGTATTACCAAGAAGCAGAAAACACAATCAAATGGAAAAGAGAAGTACTAGGACAAGTGTCTCAACAAGGTCAGACTGTTTGCCAAAGGAGCAGCATGATGCATCACACTCAACCCAATTAACAAGGCTATTTAAATTTGAAAAAATTCTTGCTTTGGTCAAAAATTGACTGAAGCATTTGAAGAAAGGTGGCCGTTAAAGATTAGTACAGAGAGCAGGAAGGAAAACGTATATATATTTTCCTTGTCAGCAAAGTATTTTCCAGTCATAAGAGTGTCTTGCGCAGCATGCTGATCTCGCAGATGGTGCAGTAAATCAGGGCTAACTCTGAACGTGTCAGTGGAATTATCTTTGTGTAAATGTTATCTGAATTGGTCCCTAGCTGTGAAAGACAGGGATTGCCTTGGGGCATAAGTACAGATAGAAGAACTAAAGGGATTTTATTTTCCCTTTTTCTTGTTTTTTTTTTTTTTTTTCCTTGGAGTCTGACT